AGATAAATGCACTACAACTTTCATTCTCGAATCGTGCAAATCTGATGCTCAGCACATGCCTACACCATTGATAAATCATTTGTGTAGCAGTTGCTTCAAAAAGAACATTTCTAAAACTACAAGAACAAGTTACCTGTCTGGCCATGCAAGCATCCATTAAGTCCTTCTCCAGATAGTTACCTCGATTGATTTTAGTGGCGTTGGGAATAAGGTGACGCAACTCCTTAGAAAATTCCTGGAGTTTTGAGCTTGGAGATCTGGATGTGGTGACAACAACGCGGGGATCCTCTGCACCAGCCCAATAGTACTCGTCGTCCTCCGCAGCAAGATCACCCTCGCCGCCATCATCACTCCAGTCGAGGTCTTCATTCACAGCCAACGCCTCATCAGCAATCTCCTTGGGAAGTTTTTTCCCTTCCGCAAGACTAGCTTTAACAAGCTGCCTTTTTTGCTTTCGAGCTTCATCACGGGCTTCAATGGATCGCCGGTAGATGAATTCACGGCGCAGTCGTGCCTGTCGCTTAAGCTAAATGGGTTCGACGGTGAGATTAGTTTCATTCAGAACAATGCCCAGAAGCAGAAATGAAATGCACTAGGAAAATAGCCCCTTCGTGAATTTTGAAGCAATGAAATCGGCTGAAGCTGCGCGCTAAATCGCGCTGACACTCACCATATGGATTTAGAAGATGCAGACAATATCCACACAGGTCTCCCATTGGTTTAATAGTTTGTTTAAGCAAGTCTAGTGCTTCAAGTCTTTGACCGAATAAAGAAACAACATGTGTGCGTTTTCAACACTGCAAAACAACCTATTATTAGAACGCTTGCTACATCCCGTAACACTGATGATTAATACACAAAAATATAGTTCCAATATTATTATAAGATTCGGTTTAAGGTCATTCATCTCCTTTTATGAAGTGTATTTATAATTTGTTGAAATGGTATAATTTGAGGAAATTTTTATCCTTTAAGTGTTGTTTGTTTTAACCATCATATATGGCAAGTCAAAGCGCCTATATCCCTTAAGCTGCCTATATTCGCGATATCTGAGGTAATTATGCGAGAGGTTTTTCCTCTATATTGAATTTCTATTTACTTTTGTAAGTCAAGAAATAGAATGTTGTGTTCATTGTCTCGAGCTTCTCACCGGGTTGATGAAGGTATTAAATGGGGCTGAGTGCATGCATTCCGAGAAAGTGACCAAACCTTAGCTTGGCCCGAAGGTCAGGCCACGCATACAGGGACCGGAAATTTCTTCCAATAACCACCAAATGTTATGTTGCCAAATAAGTTAAGAATCACTGTCTAGCTTAATATTCCTTTTATTTGGGATATACCGCTGGTGTTTGTGCGATATAGTGAGAAATTTCATTTTTTAATAAATTTCTTGAATCGAGATATTTTCCATTGCATGAAGGCATCAAGTCTAGCTGAATTCTAACATCTTACGTAGGAGTGGGAGACATTGGGCCTTATTTTGGCCTTCAGGCCAACCAACGCGCACAAGAACATGATGAATGCCACTGTCTGTGGAGAATTGAATGCGACTCATGAAATCGCTTGAAGTAACCGTAGCTTGTTTGTTGTAATAAAATTGTCATCCTGCGTTTATCGATTATTGGATTCCGTAGCCCTACAAGTTGCTTCAAGACGAAGGTGCATACATCTTAAGTTGAATTCCGCAGCATAAGTTTATCAATTCCAATGAACCCTAATTTGAATGTCTTTGGTAACATTCCGATCTTCCTTTTCGACATTTTTGAAGTACACTAAGTTATCATGTCAAGGGGCTAGATTTGTTCACAAGATGACTGGACCTATGGCAATTTATTGCATCATTTATGTGCAATGAACAACACCTTTCTAATTTAGCGATCCACTAATGACTTGTTCCAGGGATCATGATTTCTATAGCATTTTCATTAGAATATTTATTTGGTGATTTGAAGTACATGCGATGCGGCTGTGTTTTGTTCATGTATTCCAGTTGAGAAACCTCGTTCGCATTTTTCCACTTCACTATGGCCTTGAAATTTCAAACCGAAAAGGCCACTAGGTAATTCATAAAACTCGAAATGCAAAAAAGACCAAATGGGAAGGAAAAGGGAACACCAACATCCCAAACAGCGTTAATGATGTGGGGGAGGGAGTGTGGGGTGCACCAAGCCCCTCACTTGCAGCCACATGATCGAACCACCATATCAGGCCGATGATTTAACACCACCTGATTGTCTGTCTGGAAGTAGAGCATTGGCAGTGCCTCCAACTCGTGCGGCACACAGCAGGGTGGCGGTACATGCTGCGCTGAGGCGCTGGAACTATCGGGAGAAGTGACGGTGGAGGTTCGGAGGAAACGAGACCAGACACTCTGAAGCACCGCGTGATTAGTGGGTTGGGTTTCTTGACCCAGAGGAAAAGTGCAAACACCACTGCATACTCCAGCATCAAAGGTGACCGGCGCAAGAATCCAGTCGGTCATGTTGAGTTGCTCAAAACTCACTACCATCTTCCGCCGTCGACAGTAACGTCTGGGAGGACGATTCTTCATCACAATAGCCGAATGCGTCCTCGTAAATTGAACCTACAGTAAGTTAATCCGCTACTCAACATTCCATGATCTTCAAAACCACTTAAACCGAGATCACTAACTCACAGTGTTTCTCTTGGACCTTCGCAATGTCGGTTGCTTGGTCTCGGCATTTAACCGAGGATATTCGTGTATATACAATCGACCATAGCGCCATGGATCGTTGCGAAGGAATTCCTGGGCCAAATCGTCATTTTCTGCAAATTAAAATCTAGTGCAATTCGTATTTGAGTGAAGTTGCAAGGACTGCACCACTGAATTACATTGCAAAGAATTTCGATAGTTGGGGAAGTTAGTGACAAAGTTGAACCAAAAAGGTCAAATCGCAGTTTGTGTAATCCTTAGGGCTGCAAACCAGCATATTGATAACTATTCGCTGTTTTGCTGTCAGATTTAACTTTATGGCAATTTTAATTCCCATGAATCTACCCATTAAATTTTATTAATAACACCGAAAATTGGAGTTATAAAGGTGATGTTAATGTTACCGCCTGAAGTGGTGTGGTAGCGCGACTTGGCCGTCCGATCGCGACAGTAGACGATGAGACAGGGCTGCAGACGCTCAGCATTGTGAAAGTATCGTTGGACGAAATTCAACTCGTTTTGGTTACGAACAGGTGTCTTATCACTGTATACTGCTTCCACAATGAGTCCTAAAATGGCAGTTTGAGTAATGGGTAGAGTTTATGCCGCACCTTCATTATCACTTCTGTTACATTTGCTGATCGACTGAATTGGACGGATCTGGTTGCAAAGGCGATTCGTCTCTGTTAGGTGTGGGAATATGAATGACCGAAAAATCACTTTACAGTTCACCAGCATCTACAGCTTCACCGCCAAACAAATTGAAATTGGGAGTCTGGCGAGTGCCTTTACCGTTGCATAGTGGGCTCCTTTTCAACGACTTGGGTAATTTTGGCTGGCGTCCACTTACTAACGGCGGCATGCGCCGAGGTTGATTTGCGTTACTAATTTTTTTGCCATCCTGTTTATAAGACTAAAAATTAGCTCTAGTGATAATTGGCCCCATTTTTGAGGTAAATCTAAAAAGCTTGCAAAATCACACTCAAAAGAGGGTGGCATTTGCTAAATGAATATTTGGTAGGAATAAAGTTGGTAAAGATGGAAGCAAAAAGGAAGGCAGCTATCGGAAACCTAGTGTTTTGTAGAGAAGTTAATTTCAGTAGTCATGAGATTGGTTTTAAACTGTAAGGTGATTAAAAACTGACGATTATAAACGGGAAAATTTTCTTTTAATCAGCTTTTACTAATAATGTACCTCTTATTAGTGCGGAATAGGCGCTTCCATTGAAGGTACGAAAGGTCAAGTTGAGTAGAAACGGACCTTTTTTAGTGGTTACTTAATGGCTGCCTCTGCACTTTAAGTTGAATAAATTGGCGTTTCAAGGCAAATGCACTTGTTTAAAAACTCACAGAACAGTACTGTGGCAGTTGCAAGGGGTTCATTCTAAGGTGACACGCTGGATTTCACGTGGAAGGAATGTTCGCTTTTTTATTACAGACTGTCTATTTTATTGTAGCCAGTAGGACACTGTTATTTTCGAACACG